ACATAAATAAATAACCTTTTGCCTCCCAGTCAACTAAAATACACTTTATCTTACATAAAATGTTATTCTTTAAATTCCCCCCAAAAAGTTATATTATTTTATTTGTCAACTACCCAAATCCTTAACTGAATTTCCCAGTGCATATACAGTAACTGCAGTGAGCATGCTATCCCAGCTCTTATGTACCGGTCATCAATTACTCTTAAATCAATTCCAGCCTTCCTCGCTGAGGTCGAATGTTTGACGCACAAGTGCGGGCACATCCCTGGCACATCCGTCCGGAGGGATCACTGCATGCTGCCAGCAGCTGGGGTTTGGGGGAGCATGGCAGTTATGCAAAGCGTGTGGCAGACAGTGCAGCTCCTCCCTGTGTGTGGAGTATAGTCCCTGTGAAGTGCTGTTGTGTGGACGTCTGCTGTGAGTAATAGCAATGCTTGGCTCTCTCCTCAGAGACACCAGAACTGAGTGGGAGGACTATGTGGTCCTGCTTCATAGAGGATGTACGCTTTTATACTTGTTTCTGTTTTGCCGGGAATGTTTCCTCTTCATGGCCTACTTGTGTACACAAAATCTTTTTGTGTCTTTCTTGGCTTTATGGTGCTTCGACAGTCCTGCGCCCTGAAACCCTGCCCGAATGTTTTCATGCAAAGCATACCCAAATTCAAAAAGCCAACTCAGCCGGCTAGTAGAAAAACAAAAAATAACGATTTTAAAAGAATAGTTTACCCAAAAATGAAAATTTGCTGAAAATGTACTTACCCTCAGGTCATCCACGATGAGTTTGTTTCTTCATCTGAACATATTTGGAGAAATTTAGCATTACATCACTTGCTCACCAATGGATCCTCTGCAATGAATGGTTGAGGTCATAATGAGAGTTAAAACAACTGATAAAAACATTAAAATAATCCACAAGTAATCCACAAAACTCCAGTCCATCACTTAACGGCTTGCAAAGCTGCATGTTTGTAATAAATCCATCAAGGTGTTTTAACTTTAACCCATAATAACGCTTCCTCCAGTGAAAAAGTCCATCCCCTCTTGTGCTCTCGCATTAAAATTCACTGACATATTGTATTGTTTAAAACTGTAAATGGTGCTTCACCTGTGCATATTTCTCTCCTGATTGATTGACAGGTGAGAAAACTTTTCTTACCAGAGAAAGTAATAATTTGAAGTTAAAAGCATCAAAGATGGAATTGTTTCTTACAAACATGCAGATTTTCATTTCAAAATGCACTGGAGTCATACTGATTACTTGTGGATTATTGTGATAGTTTTTATCATCTGGCAGCACCCATTCGCTGCAGAGGATCCATTGGTGAGCAAGTGATATAATGCTACATTTCTCCAAATCTGATGAAGAAACAAACTCATCTACATCTTGGATGGCCTGTGGGTGAGTACATTTTTAGCAAATTTTCATTTTTTTTGGGTAAGGTGTTCCTTTAAGGTTAAAAAACATTATTTATGACACAAAATGCTCCTTTTAATATCTCATTGTGTGGGCTACTG